CTCTGAAGGCCAAAAAGCAGTGTTGAAAGGCATCCACAGCTACAAGAAGATCTGTACATCACCTAACTTTCAGCAGCCCAAGATATTAAAACTCCAGAGACAACCCAAATATTCTCAGAAGAGCAGCCCCAGGGAAAACAAGATTGACCACTATGCTGTCATCAAGATCCCCCTGACCACCGAGTCAGCCAAGAAGAAGACTAAAGATAACAACACACTTATGCTCATTGTGGATGTTAAGGCTAACAAACACTAGATCAAATAAGTTGATCAAAAAAAAAAAAGAAGTAGTTCTTTAATGCCATGAGTAACAGTGCATGCCTACTATAATCCCAGTGGCTTGGGAGGCTGAGGAAGGAGTATAGAGAGTTCAATGCCTGCCTCAGCAACTCAGGGAGGCCCTATTACTAAATAAAATACAAAAAAAGGATTGAGGATGTGGCTCAGTGGTTAAGTGCCCCTGGATTCACTTCCCAGTACCAAAATAAAAGAAAGAAGCTCTGTAATACTGATGTGGCCAAGGTGTTATCAAATAGGCTACAAAGAAGCTCTGTAATGCTAATGTAGCCAAGGTCAACACTCTTCAGGCTCAATGGAGTGGAAAAAGTATATGTTCAACTGGCTCCTGATTATGATGCTTTGGCCACTGCCAACAAAATTGAAATCATCTAAACAAAGTCTGGCTACCTCATTCTGAACATACATTTTTTTTTTTTTTTGCAACATAAAAATAAAGGGCTGGGTGCAATGGCACAGATCTGTAATTCCAGAAACTCAGGAGACTGAGGCAGGAGGATCACAAATTTGAAGCCAGCCTCAGCAACTTAGCAAGTCCCTAAGAAATTAATGAGATCCTGTCTCAAAATAAAAAATAAAAAGGGTCTGGGGTTGTGGCTCAGTGGTAGAGTGCTTACCTAGCATGTGTGAAGCACTGAGGATGATTCTTAGCACCACATATAAGTAAATAAAAGGGAAAAAAATTAAAAATAAATAAAAAGGGCTGAGGATGTAACTCAGTGGTAAATTACTCCTGGTTCAATCCCCAGTACTTCCCCCACCAAAAAAAAAAAAAGTGGAGAGCTGGGAATATAGCTCAGTAGTAGAGCATGCACCATGCCCTGGGTTCAATCCTAGTACCACACAAAAAAAAAGAATTTCTCAAAACCCTCCTAATGCACCTTATGTTCTCAAGCTTCCCAGTATATGCATATTCTTTGCCCATTGCCGGAAACACTCTTCTTCTATCTTCCTCCATTAAGTCAACTCAAATGTCTCCATCCTTTTCTAAGCCATGTTCCCATAACATTCTTCATATTTCTGATATAGAAAGTATCATATTGTTTTGAAATTATGTCTAAGGGTCTACTCTGCTACACTTGAAAGAAAAGTGGTGCAGGACTAACCTCAGGCACACCAATTACAGAGCAGATTTATTGTCGGACACCTGACAAGGCTGTCTCACACAGAAAGAACAGCAAGAGTGGGAGAGCAGCAGCAAGCAGGAGAGAGCAGCAGGAGAGGGAGAGCAGTAGCAAATTTCCCTTGAGCATTACCTTTTATAGATCAGAATCATGGCCATCCTTTAGGGGCAGGTTTAGCCCTTGTTACTGGCATAGCAAGCATCACCTGATTTTGTGGAAGGCAAGTTACTGTTTCTTGAGAACACAGAAGAACAACTTTTTATCTCTCAAGGAGAGAACGGAGACCAGCAAGTCTATCTCTTGAGAATAAGAACAGTATTCATAAAGTGGGGGTGGGTAAAAAGAAGATGGCTGTAGTTATTCCAACAACACTGTCAGTTCCTACATAAAGGAATTATCTCTACTGCATGCTTACATTCCCAACATAGACAGTACAATGCCTATTTCAAAGTCAACCCTAAATAAATGCTTGCTGTATGAACTACAGTTTATTAAGTATAACTAAGAGATACGGCTAGAACTGGAAAACAAGTGCCTAAATCTACCTTCCTAAAGGAGGTAATCAGTTTCTCTAGTTTTGTATTGGGCAAAATAAAAATATGAAACTCTTTTTCAAAAGCAAAGTATTGGGTTGGCAATGTAGTGTAGAAAGTTTGCCTAGCATGCACAAGGCCATAGGTTCAATCTCTAGCACTGGAAAAAAAATTTTTTTCAACATTATAAAAACAAAAGAAATTATGAAACAAAAGAAAATATTCCATCCTAGAGTTTAGTGGAGTGTAGTGAACATCCAGGATGAAGAATGGCCTGGGTGGAGCTGGGGATGTGGCTCAAAAGGTAGCACGCTCACCTGGCATGTGCAGGGCACAGGGTTCGATCCTCAACATCACGTAAAAATAAAATAAATATGTTGTGTCCACCTGGGACTAAAAAATAAATATTAAAAAAAAAAAGAATGGTCTGGGTGAGTCTATTCAGTTCACAGCAATCTCAGTGATCCTAGACCAAACCTGAGATTATCTCAATATCCATTCTCAGGATAGGCTGATTCTAAAATAAGACCAATGTAGTTTTAGTTCAGAGTTTTCAGGGATACCCACAGATGAATAACCAGAGTCAGATTAGAGCCCAAGTGATTTTGGAAACAAGAAATAAAGTGACTTGCTATTTACTCCCCTGCTTAAAATACTGTATAACAAATTCATATATTCGTCCTAGAAAATACAGCTGCAATCTATCAGCCACATGCAAATCATTAATATGTATGCTCAAATCCTTCAGAAAAATGTCCAAGTGTACAGAATTCATCATCAACATTCAATGTGTCTCCTGCTTTCCCAGTGAATACCTATGCTTTTCCTATCTTTACTGGAATGCCTCTAATTAGGGGTTGTGTATCATTTTAGTGTCACATTACTCTGCAAGCAAATACTTTAACACAAAAGAACTAGGGGAGCTGGGTGTGGCAGTACATTCCTGTACTCCCAGTGATTCTCAAAGATGGTGGTAAAGCATATAAAGCACGCCTAGGTTCGATCCCCAGTACTAGGGGGGAAAAAAAAAAAAACTAGGGGACCAAAACTTCTAAATGGCCATTAGTGAGAAATATGATACCTCCTTCCTCTGGCAAGGATAATGTTGTACAGAATCTAGTCTCAAAAGGGAGGATAAGTGTATTAAGGACAAAGAAAAGGAAGTATATGAAAAAAAAAAAAAACTGTATTTAGCCAGTAAGACAAAGAGGTATTTGTCCAAGTATTCAAAAACCAAAAGGAGGCGGACAAATGACATACACTAACAGGAAAAAGAAACATTATATCTGAGCTAGTACCTTCCAAGAGCCAGAGCTTGGGACCCCTCCTATAAGACACCACATTCAGATTGGTAAAGTAACTTAATTCCATAGTGCCACTCACTGGAATTACTCTAGCTTGAATAAATTTAATAGGTTCCATGTGTTTTTCTGATTCACACTTATTGAAACAAAATATTACTCATCATTTATCTAGCTCATGGGATTTTCTAATTCCAGAGTTTTGAGGATATGAGATTCAGTTGCCTCTCTTCCATTCCTACAAAAAAATAATCTTAAAAAACGGGTCTAAGACTCATTAAGGTTTAGTACTCTCCCTCTTAAAAGTGATGTGGAGAAAGGAAATTGATAGCTGGATGATGAAAACTAATACTTTAACTCTTGCAGGTTTGCCTTATTAACTTAGAGCTTTCACATATTTCCTTCCTGTAGTGAAAGTGAAGCTTAATGGAAACAATTGGAAAGCCAAAAATTTTGCATCTTGATTCCACCACTTACTGCTTGCCTATATGATCTTGAGCAATTACATAAAAGCCTGGAGCCTCAGATTCCAAAACTGTAAAATGGGGATATTAAATAGGGATAATGAATAGGTAGGTACCTATCCTGTAGCGTTATTAAGAGCAAAATGAATTAAGGGACCCACTAGAATGAAAGCTCCCGAGAAGAGAAACAGTGAATGTCTTCATCATCATTGATTCTTGCTGGCATGGAAACACACATAGCAGGAACTCAATTTTTTTTTTAATGAATGCATAAATATGTTCCCATTTCTCTCATCAACATTAACTCTTCCATAATTTTATTTTCCCTTATTTTCTAAAGCCTTCAAGACATTTTGTCCTTTTAAGTGATTTCTTCCCTCTCCTTAGCTATTAACTATACACCATGCAGAGGAATACTTTTGTAAGTAATTTCTTTCTCTGATACCACTGACCTTCCATCTCTAATGCTATGAGGTGACAGGGGTAATCGAAAACAAAATTCATAAGAATTCATCTACTTGCCCACCATCATTGTTCCGAGTTAACGACAATGAAACCCTCAACTCAGCCCTCCCAGAATATAACTTTCAAGGGGACACTGCACTATGCCTTCTACCTCTCGCCTAAAGAGAGACCCGCGCGCATAGGAAATCCTCTTTTCTCAAAAGTTAAGGCGTCGGTTACGTTCGTCTCCCGCTGAAAAAATGGGATGCATCCCTTGAGTAACACTCCCAACTTGGACAGACAGGAGGAATTCTGGACACCTTGGTTCTGTCCGAGGGTCACCTCTGGACTTGGCCAGGCTCTTCTGGCTACGCTTGCAAAAAAAAAAGCAGAGCTCTCCGTTCCCTGGAGGGAAGCTAAGGGGTGCGGCCGTCTACAGGGCCTGAGGATACTGTGTAAAGTCCACGACAACGTGGAGAGGCGGCATGGACCGCATAGCCGGACCTTTTAAACCATAACTACGACCATTCTTACCAGCTCACATCCGCGTGGGACACGACCACCTGCTTAAAATCAGACCCCCCCAAAAAAAAGAAAATGGCTTGCCCCCAACCCATAAATCAGACAGCTAGTGCCTGTTTATTGGCTGCAACTACATCTCCTTCACCCTCATTGGCTATCCAAGACGCAAGACCCTCCCCCACAAGGGAAACCTCTCGTACGGCGGCACCCCCAGCCTAGCAACCTCAACCCGGCTACCCAAAGTCCCGGTCCCCCACCTCCACCCAAGAAGGAAGGTCCCCGAGGCGCTCGGAACTTTGTCCTCCGAGAACTCACCGTGTAGTAGGACAACAGCCCCGCATTGTAGTCCAGCACAAACCAACGGTACTGCCAGCCCTTCATCACGTTAGTCCATTTGCTCAGCGGCCCTTCCACGATGGACGCCATCTTGGGAGCCGCCAATGACAACAAACGGCCTGACGTCACTCGCCTATATGGCCTTCAGCATGCGGGGGGCGGGGCCGC